GGATATGTGGGCCCTTTTTTTTATCTCTTTCTATTTGGATAAATAAATCCAATAGTAAAAAATAATGGGTCCACCGTATATTAGTAAAAATCGACGGCTAGATAATTTGTTTGTTCTCAGAATTTTTGTGATTTTTCTAATTTATGAAATGCCACGTGGCGGTGTTGGAGCGATTGTAGGAGTGCTATGTGGCGGCTTGAGAACATTTATAGTATAATTAATAGACTTTTAATATATAATAATAGAAGAAAATAGATTACATCTCCGACCTCTACCCGTAACCACACAGCCAAACTCCGTTTCCTCTACTCCAGACCGGGAGAATTTACTATTTGCCACTCTCTCAAAATGCCAGTGTCCCTCTGTTCGAAGCAATTCCTGCCAGGTAATTGTCAGCATGGTCTAGTACTCTGTACCCTTGTCATATCAATAATTCAATCTTGATTCATTCTGGGACTGTTTGGTTCTCGAAAATGAAATTTTTCAGTATCACATCAGACGTTTAATCGGGTATTGAAAATGGTTTTTGAACACGAATAAAAAAACTAATTTTATAACTCGCCTCGAAACCGCGAGACGAATCTTTTGTGCCTAATTAATCCGTCATTAGTACATGTGGGTTACTGTAGCACTTGTGGCTAATTATGGACTAATTAGGCTCAAAAGATTCGTCTCGCGATTTCTCCCCTAACTGTGCAATTAGTTTTTAAATTTACCTATATTTAATACTCCATGCATGTGTCCAAATATTCGATGTGATGTTTTTGGGAAAAAGATTTTGGGAACTGAATAGGGCCTGATTTGTAAGTCTGTTCGAATTTACTCTGGATAAGAAACTTACTACTTCCTCTATCCTATAATATAAGGCGTGCACACATTTTAATATTCAACTTTAAAAACATTTGATCAATAATTATTATAAAATAAAATAAATTTTATTTGTTAAAATTAATATTATTGGATTGATATTTAAATTTACTTTAAGATGGTTATAAATTTGTTACAACAAACCTTATTGTATATGAGAAATTTTAAGTCAAAGATTAGTTTTGAAGACTGTACCAAGTTTGACTATATCTTGTATTATGGGATGAAGGGAGTAACTATTTTAAGGAGCTTTCTGATTCCGAGAGAATCTAAAGTGGCCAAAAAAAACTCCTCCAATCAGACATTCGGAAAGCTTGACAAGCAGCTGGACACCGGGGCTGAGACAAGAGCATGACGAGAGCATGATAAGAGCAACAATGGATTTATGGTCACAAGAGATGAAGGGAGCAGCGTCTACAGCGGCTGATGCCTTGTGCTCCTGGTTCTATTTGCCCTTAATTTTGCATCCATTAGTGTTCAGCGGCAGCGGCAGCAGCAGCAAGCTACGGCAACTCCACGGGCCATCACAGACGCGTTTGTATTGTTCAATAAATTAACTGCAAGACAACAAATGACTTGACCTGCTTGTTTTGTTTGTACCAAATGGTCAATGATTTAGTTAATCCAGCCTGTCTTTGTTTTTTTTTTGTTCTTTCCACAAACCTGACTCTTCCTTCAATGCATGCCTAACAAGGTTGATCTCATCTTGTTCGCTGCCATTTGGTAATTACTAGAATTTTGGTAACACGACAACTGCTGAACTCGCTTCGTCTTAAAATATTACTTTCTCTGTCCTAAAATATAAATATTTTTACCTACAAATATGGGTATATGTATTTCTAGTTATGAATCTGGATATATATATATATATCTAGATTTATATTTTTTATATAAGATGGGTTAACTATGAATCTAGATATAGTCTTAAATTACAATATTTAATATTTTGAGACAAAGAGAGTAGATGGTAAAAGAAAAATCAGAATTAACCTACTAGCTAAGACTGCATTTCTAGCTATCAACGTGCACCACAGTACATGTTTAGGTTCATAGCTATAATTGAATTTTTCGTGGGATGGATGCAGTACTACTTTTTTTTCCTCTACCTATGATGGGTTTAACCAAATCTTAATTAAATGATTAACTAATATAAAAAATTTTGAATTTGATATCAGAAAAATGATATTGGTATATTTGTTGTGAAAAAAACTTTGATACAAAATATACTATTAGTCATTTTTACACAAATATATATGGGTTAATTTTATCCATGCCATTACAACTTTGCTAATTTAGAAAAATGCTATTACTATTCGTGATATCTGCTGGGTGTCACTAAAATTTTGCAAAATGAAATTGTGGTTTGACGGGCATGTGTCAGGCTGAAGTTGACTGGCATGCTGAGTCCGAACAATATCTCCTTTGCCCATTATTCGGCATTGCGGATTTTATATCGAATAGTGTCAAATTGTGATCATGGGCACATTGAGGTATGAGTGGCTATTTATGCGTGTATGGATCCCACTCATCCAAAATTATGTGGTGGTCACAAATTGCACTGGATGATATAATGTTTGGGTGCCCACAGAAATTGTGTCATCGCTGTCACATTTTCCGTCCCTTCCGTCTTCTTTCTTCTCTCCGTTTCGTCTCCTTCCCGTCGGCCGACCGTGCCTGCTGGTCCTCAATGAACTGCCGCCACGCCTTCAGCTCCTTCCTTCACCTTCCGGCATGCTCACAAGCCAATGCCGCCATCTTCAACTCCTCGCGTGAGCTCTAGGAAGGCCGGATCAACGCATGCGTGCTCCCTAGCCGGTGTCACCACCATCATCACAACCTCCTCATTGCGCGAGCTCTAGGGAGGCCGGATCCAAGCCTCCTCCTCGCGAGAGCTCCGAGGAGGCCGCATCCAGGTGCGCGTTGTCTGCGAGCAGCGTCACCTCCATCTTCACCACCTCCTCCTCGTGCAAGCTCTGGGGAGGCCGGATCCAAGCGCCGGCCACCATATTCACCTCCTCCTCTTTGCACAAGCTCCAAGGAGGTCGGATCTAGGCTCCGCCGCCATGTGCTAGATCCAGGTGCTACTCTCATCTTCACCTCCTACTCCTCACCGTGGATGGAGAGGTGATGGTGGTCGCAGCTGGCGTCAATTGCTGCTCCACCTCCGTGTTCTTCATGTGCGTCGGCTGTTGCCCTCATCACTTGATGCTCCGCCGTCCTCACCGCGTCATCCCTCTCTGCCATTGACCTCACTCCCTCCCTGGGCTTTGGCGCCGGTAGCCTCACCCGCTTCGCCGGAGCTTGCTAGTCGGCCTCTGACCTCTCTCGCTGACTCGCTCCCTAGCCTTTGGTGCCACCAGCCTCTCTCGCTTCGTGGGAGCTCGCTGGTTGGCATCCTTGCAGCCAACCCCTTGATGGGGAGAAGAAGGAATAAGATGGAATGGATGGAAAATGTAACGGCGATCGCATGGTTTCAATTTTGGAAAATTTCAGTGGCACCCAACCGATATCACAAATAGTTCTAAATCGGCAAAGTTACAATGGCATGGATCAAATTAACCCAATACATATAGTTAGAAGGAATGAAGTGCATGTGAAGTGCACGGATGGTCTCTAAACTTGTACAGATGTGTCATATAGGGCTTGTTCAGATTGTAGCCAAAATAAACCTTACCAAATTATGGCATTGCCAAAATTTTGGCAGGATTTCTTATGTATTTACCAATTTGGCAACAAACTAAATGTAGACATTTTTTAGCAACTTTACCAAAAAAATAATATGGTTGATAATGACATCAATCTAAGCAGCCCCGTAGTTTCCTAAACTTCTAAAATTTATTTTTAGGTTCTTGAACTTATCTTGGGTATCATACGGCATCATACAGATTCAAACGGGCTGTATGTAACTCACAGTGTCCGCTGATGTTGTATGCCAACCTATATGTCAGTCACACAGAAAAAAATTAAATTAAAAACATATTTTCTCCTCTTAGGTTTCTCCTCTCTATCTTAAATTTTTTTTAATTTTATCTTTTCTCTTCTCCACCTAAGAGGAGAAAAGATGTTATTAATTCATTTTTTTCCATGTGACTGATACATCGGTTTCATTGACACTTATGTGCAAGTATGACATGCCGTGTAAGCGCATGGAGCGGGTTGGAGACTGATTGGACCTGTATAGTTTTCAATGTTAGTTTAGAGACCCAAAAATACGTTTTGAGATAGATCTAGATGATTCATCCTTATAAGTTTTTAGAGACCGCTTGTATACTTCACGCTTAGAAAAGGTAGCGATGAGACATACATATTGGTGGACATGGAGAACTTCCTCCGTCCGAAAATAAGTGACTTAGATACCCTTGTCAAATGAGGTTATTTTTACGATTAAGATGGTGGTTGAGAGAAGATAAGAAGGAATTTGAATAAGAGGTGAGTAATGACATAAGTAGTACTTTAAACTTGTTACTTATTTTCAGATAATTTTTAAATCAAAGTGGTCACTTGTTTTGGAACGGAGGAAGTGGTATCAAGTTTTTTAAAACCTACGTTCCAAAAATGAAGTGTTTTTTTATGGATGGAGCACTAAGTTTTGTTAATGCCTAGGAATTTTGGTAACACCAAATAGTATTTTGTTTTATTAATTCGGTATAATCGTGGTGAAAGTGGGTCATAAAAACTGAGGTCAATACTCAGTACTAAGAGCAAGTTTAATAGTATAGCCAACTACTAGCTCCAAATCATCTATAGCCAATGTAATAGCCAATTCATACAATAGTTGCTTACTATACTATTAATACTTGGTCCCACCTGTCATACACACATTATGTCTTAGAGTCCGTGCTGCAGCTGGCTACAGATCTGTAGCCCGCTACTCTTCTTTATCTTCCTTTATCTTTTTAAAATTGTTTATAGCTGGCTTATATCCTGCTATTTTACCTGTTCTAACACGTCGAGCCAAAGAAAAACAAATCAATTCAGGTGCACATTGTTGCTGCATTAACTATTACGAGCTGCTACCAGTGCAAGGCCAGTGACGCATTCGCATTAACTATTACTCTCTGTCGGCAGCTCTCGTGCTCATCCAGCCATCCAGGGAATACATATATCGGACCAAAACCCTCGCATATGCCTCCAAGTCTTTTCCTAGCTAGCCAGCAACATCTTCAGATCGATCCCCCCACCAAGCCTGCATTTCATTGCGGGTGCACGCAGAGATCGAGGAGAGACGATCACCACCATGGCCGGAGAGATCATTCCAGACGGCGGCGGCGGCGGCGCGGTGTTGGCGGCGGAGAGCGTGATGCTGCCGGCGAGCATGGTGCTGGTGCAGCTCTTCTCCGTCGTGCTGGTGCTGCTGTCCAAGCTCGCCCTCAGCACCGGCATGCGGCCGTTCGCCCTCCTCGCCTACCGGAACCTCGTCGGCGCCGTCGCCGTCGCGCCTCTCGCCTTCATCTTTGAGAGGTTAATTATTCGTCGCTTATTCGTCATCTGCAATGGCGACTTGGCCAGCTTGTATTATTCCTTGCTTTCTGCATTGAACATATATGGTAGTTCTTGTTGGATTGGAATCATCTGCTTCCAAAGCTACCATACCTATTTGTCACTGACTGGTGGACATATATGGTTCATCGGACTCATATGTCAGTAACATCTGATAAAGATACATATCTTTGAAGGTAGGGGAGCCTAATCCGTTCTTGTTTGGTTCACAACGCTGTTGTTTCTCTGCGCATGTACACAAGTATAATTTGAGGTTTAGAGCATACATCCTTGTATGACGTTGGAAGTACATAGAAAATATTACTCCAAATGTTGTCCCCAACGTCATGCACTAGCCACGGGGTATATTTTTGTCTGCATGCGTGCACCATTACTCCGGCCCAGCCCGGCCATCTCACAAAGTCTTCACTTGTCTTTCTTTATTTGTCTCAAAAACTACATCTTGAAGATCACCAATTGCTTTGAAGTTCGAGAAAGTGCATACAAATATATTAGATTTTTCAGTCAGAGACAAATTGACTAGAGTTTTTAAAACTAGCTAGAAGGCATAGTCTTAAGGAGTAGTAGCATTGTATTGGTAGGTGTGAGGTAGATCAAAGTAAATGTTATTTTAGGACGAAGTTAATTAGTACTCCTCTCAGTCCACGAGTATATATGTAGTATTATTTTATCATACATTAATCATCAATTAACACTGGTACTACCAACTAACATGAATAATCTCGTACTAGTACATAGGCCCTGTTTGAATCGGGAGGGCTATTAAATAGTCCTTCAGAATCTTGCTATTTAAGAGTATTAAACGTAGATTACTAACAAAATCCATTCTATAATCCTTAGGCTATTTTGCGAGACGAATCTAACGAGGTATATTAATCCATGATTTGCTATAGTGATGCTACAGTAATCAGCCGCTAATTATAGATTAATATACATCATTAGATTCGTCTCGCAAAATAGCTTAGGGGTTATGGAATCGGTTTTGTCGGTAATCTAAGTTTAATAATCCTAAATAGCAATATTCCGGAGGACTATTTAATAGTCCGGAGGATCCAAACAAGACCATAGAATCTCGTACCAACTTTAAGTAGGGGTTGACTGACCTTTACTTTATTGGTAGTGGAAATATAAATGGACCTCAGCGGAAGCACCCTTGCTTGTCTTCTTTTAAGATCTTTATTGCCTTCCTGATTTTTGATCTTTTTGTATGTTCCAGGAAAAATAGGAAAATCCCGAGCATTGTGGAGTGGTGCTGGATTTCGCTTAATGCTACATTTGGGTTGGTATTTTTTTTCCAGATTAATCAAAGGGACTCTCACTTATATGTTTGCCAGTCAAATATTACTCTCTCTCCGTTTCTAAATATTTGACGCCGTTGACTTTTTTAAATATGTTTGACCGTTCGTTTTATTAAAAAAATAACTAATTATTAATTCTTTTCATATCATTTGATTTATTATTAAATATACTTATATGGATACATATAGTTTTACATATTTCACAAAAATTTTTGAATAAGACGAACGGTCAAACATGTGCTAAAAAGTTAACGGTGTTAAATATTTAGAAACGGATGGAGTAATATACTAGCATACATTGTGTAACTTGGAAGTAGCTATAATATAAAGGAAAATGTATGTAGCTTTCCAAAACGCATCGGGGGTTGTTGGATGTAACCCCTCACCCATGCACGCGCTTTGATTTTTTTTCCTTTCCCGCTTGTATGTATGTAATTACACTATAATAAAATATACTCCCTCCGTCCCATAATATAAGGGATTTTGACATTTTGCTTCCACTGTTTGACCACTCATCTTATTTAAAAAATTTGTGTAAATATAAAAAACGAAAAGTTATGCTTAAAGTACTTTGGATAATAAAGTAAGTAAAAAAATTAAATATAAATTCCAAATTTTTTTGAATAAGACGAATGGTTAAATAGTGCAAGTAAAATGTCAAAATCTTTTATATCAGAGGACGGATGGAGTATTTACATTGACAGATGCTTATAGGAAAATTTTTAATTAAATACTCTTTTTACTTTGTAAAGAAAATCCACAATTTTTAGTCACAATATGCTTTACAAGCTCAATGAATCCATTATCTAAAAAAATATGTTTCACTAAAAAAAAAGGAAAAAACACAATGCATCCTAATATACTCATATCGCTTCAATGTGTACATAAAAACTTTGACCATGTTGACTGCTAGAATTTTTTTTTTGCAAGAATATAATATCTATCTAGTCCAACTGTGATTTCACAAAAGTACAAGAATCCTAATGTAGGGTAATCCTATCAATGGGGCTGTACTACTATGGACTGCGAAGCACCTCCGCCACATATTCAGTCATATTTCTGAACCTGATTCCTATTGTCACGTCCATCATTGCAATCATATTCGGGTATTCGCACTTCTCATTAATAAGTTTTTACACTTAGTTACAAAACATTACAACTAACAACCTCTCTCTATGTTTACAAATTTCATCAGGGCAGAGAAGTTGGTGTTTACAGACTGGCCTGGCAAGATAAAGCTCTTCGGTATCATAACATGTGTGGGAGGAACAATGGTAGTGAGCTTGTACAAAGGGAAACTGCTGCATCACCCTTGGCCTTCCCACCTGTTGAAATTCCACACGCAGAAAGCATCAGGCTATGCCTATCATCACAATTTGTTAGCCGGTACATTGTTCTTGTGTGGCAGCTGCCTTAGCTACGCCTTTTGGTTCATCATACAGGTACCAAATCAAGTCTTTCAAGTTGAAACCTGCCAATTTCAGGTTTATGCTTGTAGTTACTTCTCAGGGAGTTGTAGTGCAATGTATGGTTCATGCGAATCGACTTTCTGAAGCGTTGCTACTTTCAGATTGTAATTTTTTTCTGCAAATGCAACTACAGGTTAGGCTTGCGAGCGTCTTCCCGTACAGGTATTGGGCAACTACGCTGACATGTCTTTCTGGAAGCCTGCAAGCCTTTGTGATTGGCATTCTGATCAGCCCTACAAAATCTGCCTGGACCCTCAAATGGGACATGCAGCTTCTGACAGTGGTTTATTCAGTAAGAACATTACCATCCAAACAATAACTATGATGTTTTGTGTAGTCTAGGTACTACTTCATCCTACCTGTTTGGTTTGAAATATGAAATTATATGTTGATGTGCTGATTCTACCAGGGGGTGTTCAACACTGGTATCTCATTTGTCCTGATGTCATTGGCGGTCAAGCATCGTGGACCGATCTACCCATCCATGTTCAACTCGTTATCGCTGATCGTGATGGTGATCATGGACTCAGTGTTACTTGGTACAAGTATCTTCTTAGGGAGGTGAGTTCCTGTTCTTGAGCAGGGATATAAATTTCACTTTCTTTGGAACTACATACTTAGTTCTGTAGCAAATACGACAAAATGGGAATGTTCTCTGAATATATTATGGGACTGTTTACTGTCATGATCTGCAGCATTCTGGGGACAGCATTCATCATTGTGGGGCTGAATGCGTTTCTATGGGGGAAAGGCAAGGAGCTGAAGCAAGCTGTGGCGCAGCACACCAGCCACAAGCAGAACACAGACCACAACGAGCAGGTTGGAGATGAGATAGCATAGCATATCAGCACTATGATTGAATGAAAGATGATGCTTGGCAAATTTGCGATGATGACGATAAAAATGTCTAGATAGATAAGGGATTAGCATGGTAGTTTGTAACTAGTTTCCGGTGCAAACAAAAATATGGTACAAATGAAGTTATGAAAAGTTTGCCACCAACTCCTCGTCCTTCTTTTAATTGACACATTACAACTGGATAACAATTTTCGTTTATATATCTATGGCTGATTACCCAAAACAGGCTGTCTCTAAGGGCGTACGGCCGGAGCGCCCACACAGGACCCCCAATTTTCACGGGTCCCCTAAGCCCCAAACTTTAACACTAGATATACAGCCCAACAAGAAAATTGTAGCCCAACTAATTCTAAAAATTGTCATTTTTTCCACATTGTTTTGGCTTCGATCGCGCGTTCGCGCTACTTCGGCCTCCGGGCTGCGGCCTCACCAATCGCCAATCATAACAAACGAGAGGAGTAAATGAATTGTATGTGTAGTTGATTTTTCTCCAAAGTTTTATTCCCAAAGAGAAGTGGGCCCTGTTCAAAATCTTGAAGTTTCTGAAGCGACATGATTGTTTTCCCAATGCAACTATTGCATATAGAGTTTTGTTGATCATTCCCCTAACTTTTGCATCGGTGGAATGGAGTTTTTCTAAATTGAAGCTATTGAAGTCAATACTTGTGATCTACAATGCCACCAGAAAGACTTATTGGATTAGCTATAATTGCACTTGTGGGTGGTATGTTGGGGAAGAATCAATATGAAGCTATCATCGAAGATTTTATATCAAAATATACTAAAAAAATGTCGCTTTTCTAAGGAATATTATGCACAGGTATATCGTTTTAGAACATTTCACATTGCTATGAAATATTACGGAGTATAATTTTTTATCATATTGTACCATGAGTTAAGTTTTTATTCTTTGTTACGACTTTGCACAGGGCCCCCAAATTTTAAGTGGCGGCCCTGCAAAACACTGTAGGGGTAGCACCAAAACAAGGTAGGGGAGGCAGCCACAATGTTAAAGCTTTACTAATATAAGATTAAAACAATTACAAAAGATAAACTTAAGAACAAAAGACTGCTCTCTCAGAAGGATTTAACATATGCAAAAGTAAAAGATCACCCTTTAAGAGTGATCTCCAAGACTATATAGAGTGAACAATATTCTAAACATTTGAGCCATTACGCTGTTTCCATATACGCCAAGCTCCATATATGATGTCTACAAAACATGAAGAACTTTATGAGTTGTGATACTGCTGCAACATGTTTCCAAAAGACAAGGAGGTAACCCATGTTATCTACAACAGATTCCAACATGCCAGAGCCGCCAAACTAAATTGGCATTGGAAAAATTGATGCAAAAAAGTCTCTCTTCCTCATCCAGAACATAGAACATCGAGCGCGCTCATGTTATCTCACCATCTTCAGGCATACATTGTTTTCTATCCAACATGTCCCTTTTTGTCTGTCAATTAGGAGCAAACACCCAAAGACCCTAACTTTCATGATGCACGTGTGCTATTCCGTATCCAATTTAGGTGACAGGGAGGTTGAATATACTTGTAAAATTGATAGCATATATTTTCTGTGAAAATAATGAAGCATTACCCCATATATAAGACCATTTATCAGTTTATGATGAGTTATACAGAGTTATATAGAGTTTGTACTGTGATTCAACTTTTTTTTTTCACAAATTCTCACTGGTGGAGAAATCATCTTTGGTCGGTCGACCCAAATCCACAATAGTCCCGACTCCATTAAAAACCGGGACTAAAAACGATTTTTAATCCCGGTTTATAAGCGTAACAGGACTAGATGATCTTTATTCGCGGTTGAGGTTACCATCTTTAGTCTCGGTTGGTAACACCAACCGGGACTAAAGATCAGGACTAAAGATAATCTTTAGTCCCGGTTGTTTATATGTCAGACCATGTCAGGCGGCTAGGATCTTAACACCAACCGGGACTAAAGATCTAACTTTATTCCCGGTTGGAGTTACTAACCAGGAATAAAAATCAACACGTACTATATAATCCCTATTACTTATCCTCTTTTCTCGTCCACACAACGAACTCTTTCTCTATCTCTTTTTTTCCTCTCTAACTCCCTATCCTTATCCTTTCTTCTTCCTTCTTCCTTAGTTCTTCTTCCTTAGCCCGCTTGGATCGGAGCGAGAGAGGCCAGCCGCTTGGAGCGAGAGCGGGCCGGGCGGTAGCCGGCGCGGCGGCGCGGAGGGACGTGCGGCGGTGGCCGGCAGGCGCGGAGGGGAAGCCGGCGTGCAGCAGCGCGGAGGGCCGCGGCGGCGGCGCGGCAGCTGGCGGCGGCGGCGCGGCATCGGGCAGCGCCACGGGGGCCAGGCGGCGCGGAGGGGAGGTGGCGCGGCGGCGGGCGGGCGACGCGGCGGTGGCCGGCCGGCCAGCGTGGAGGCTAGGCGGCAGCGGCCGGCCGGCTCCTCTGTTGTTGTTTTTTTTTAAGAATTTGTGATTTATTGCAGTATCATGTGATGAATTTGATTTGTGTGTGATGTGAACTTGTGATGTATTTGTGATGAATTTTGTAGAAACTTGTGATGTAATTTGATTTGTGTGTATTTTTTTTAGGATTTGTGATGTAATTTTTTAGAACTTTAAAATTTGTAATGTGGACTTGGGATCTTACTTCGATTTGGGATATGCATACCACCCATATTAGGGAGAAAATAAAAAAAAGGATATGCATACCACCCAGATTAGGGAGAAAATAAAAAAGGAAAAAAAACCTGGCTATCCTCTTTAGTCGCGGTTGGTAACAACAACCGGGACTAAAGATACTCTATCTTTAGTCCCGGTTGGTCCATCTTTAGTCCCAGTTGGTACCAACCGGGACTAAAGATGGGCATCTTTAGTCCCGGATTGCTACTCCCGGTTGGAAACCCGGGACTAAAGGGATTCCCAACCGGGAGTAAAAAGGGTTTCTCTACCAGTGTCTCAACAAAACTTGATAAAGATTGGGTAAGTTTTGACGTATTTTAGAGAAAAAAATATTCACTTACAAACTCAGAACTGAAGTTCGATATACTCCTTAAATATAAATATGCTTACTAGTTATAATCCAGATTCCTAAATGAAATATGCGCACATATCGTGATTAGAAAATACTATAAAATTCTCATGAGAACCAAACAAAACATGAATATACATGAATAACTCGTTTGACATTTTTCCTGGTCAAATTTTGTTAAGTTTGAAAAAGTTTAAAGAAAAATTTATTAACTTTTAAAATATCAAATCAATTTTATTAAATATAGCATTGAATATATTTTGATAATATATTTGTTTTATGTTAAAAATACTACTATATTTTTCTATAAGCTTGGTCAAACTTAAAGAAATCTAACTAGGGAAAAATCAAATGACTTATAATATGAAACGATGGGAGTAAATATAACCGACTAAGTCACTGTTTGTTTCAGCTTAAGACTATTGTAATCTAGATTATAGAACTAGATTACTTAAGTTGGATTATAATAAACCTATATAGAATAAGCTGCTAGCTGTTTGTTTCTCTGAATTATTATCTGTTAGCCACCCAACAATTAAAAAAAGCACCTTTAGAGTGGCTTACCAGATTATAATAATCTAGCTTATGATTATAATAATCTATCATAATAAGCTATCTGTTTATTTCAGCTTACTCCTAATAATCCATATTATAATAATCCTAAGCTGAATCAAACAGGGCCTAAAACTTACAACCTACTCCCTCCGTTTCAGCTTATAAGACGTTTTGATTTTGGTCAAAGTTAAATTATATCAAGTTTGACTAAGTTTATAGAAAAATATATATAGTAATATTTACTAAATTAGTTTTATCAAATCAATAATTGAATATATTTTCATAATAAATTTGTCTTGGGTTGAAAATGTATACTTTTTTCAACAAACTTGATCAAAATTAAAGCAGTTTGACTTTGACTAAACTCAAAACGTCTTATAACCTAAAACGAGGGGAGTAGCGTATTTAGATTCAGATACATTTCATTACAAGGAATTATTTGAGACTTTAGAATGGGCTCATGAGCGAGCACATTTGGTATGGAATTATCTAACATTCATATCTCTCATCCACCTCATCATGTGAGGATTATAGATACACTGGTTTTGTATATTAAGGAACTCGGCGTCAAGTGAGGGACCAATAGTGAACTTAATCCAAAAAATCTAGGCTCGTTTGAGGCTCTAGGCCCAAGGCCCAAGGCCAAAGGCCCAGCTCCTTATGGCCCAAGGCCCCAGCAGCTGATGACCCAGCAATCCTTTTCCGACGAGAATACGAGATCGATCGATAGATCGTCGTCTCCATCGATTCCGATTCCCCCTTCCGCTTTTCTACCACCACCGCTGCTGCTGCTGCTGCTAACCCCGCCGCCGAAGCAATCCCCCCGCGGCGGCCTCCCCGACTCCGATTCCGGCGGCCTCCTCCTCCTCTTCCTCCGCCGACCCCGAGTCCCTCCCGGCCTCCGATTCCGTACGCCGCCGCTCCCGCCCCCGTCCTGGTAAGCTACACGGCTTCCGCCCAATCGCCCCGCCCCTACCTGCTTCCCTTTACTTATAAGCGACGCCACGTCCCTAGCCCTAGCCCTAGCCCTAGCCTCCGCCGCTTCTTCGCTCGCTCGCTCGCTCGAGTCGCCGCTGCAGGGGACGTTCGCGCGCTCGGCTCCAGCGCACGGGAATCGTGCTGCTGGGCTGAGCTATCCGACGCGTGGTTGGTGTCTATTCTTCTTGTTTAGTTACTCGGTTCTAGTTCTATTACTACTATATGCGCTCTAGGGTTTAAGACGAATTACTGGACCCAAATAATTAGATTCTGCATATGATTTAATTTTATAATGCCGTTTATATGAATTATTATTTAGCCATAGAAGGCCATCTTACTTTTGAAGTGAGCCTTCCTTTTTAGAGGAGTAATGTTAGTTTTTTTATAATAATAAAAATATGATTTTGCCCTTGAAGGTTGTGTGCTGTGGCATGGGAGATAAGCCTGAAGCTCTTTTCACTCGCCGTTTTCTTAAATGATGTCCTTCCTTCCGAAGGGCAAAACTACACAAACAGCGTTTAAGTGGCCATGGAGAGGTGAATCGCAGCTATCGGCGCATCTTCTCATTGATATTCCACCTGAAATCGAATTGTCGGACTACCGAAGATTGCCAAGCCCTGGTAATGAGAGCCCATCAGGGCTACTTCATGGAGAAGACTTTAAGGAGGAGGTGATCCCTGACTTGGATATTTTCTTTGAGAGGCTCTATGAGTATTTCTGCGCGAAAGGTCTGCGGTGCATCATCACCAAGTGGATAATTGAGATCCTCAATGTGACGTTTATGGTTTGCTGTATCGGGTTTTTCTTCTTGTTTGTTGATTGGCCTGCCCTTGGCGATTTGAAATGTGGAGTGGAAGCGCTCGAGTCAGGGGCAAAACCTTGTGACCTAATGAAACTCATTAAGTATCGTCCCCTAGATCCTTTCACATTTACAAAGTTTATCACTATTGGATCCATGGTTATACTCTCAACTTACGGAATCATTAACTTTGTGAAGTTTTTTGTAAAACTGAGAAGCACACTCAAGGTCCGTGACTTCTACTGTAACAGGTAACATTCCATCTTCTTGTGTTGTACATGTTAGTAGCATTTGCTGATTAGAACAGGTGATTTATCTATATGCATCTATTGTATTTTTCCTGCAGTCTCAAGGTTACAGATCTCGAAATTCAGACTATATCATGGCCTAGAGTAGTTGAGAAGGTCGTACTTCTGCAGAAGTCACAACGACTTTGTGTCGTTAAAGATCTCACGGAGCATGATATAATCATGCGAATAATGCGTAAACAAAACTACCTGATTGGGATGGTTAATAAAGGTATCATCGCATTGCCAATCCCCTCTTGGCTTCCTGGAGTTGGCCCAACTGTCAGCTCACGTATGCATGGAAAAAAAAGCTATCTGATGCTTCCAAAGGCCCTGGAGTGGACATTGAATTGGTGCATCTTCCAAACCATGTTTGATAGGTATGTGCTGTGTGTCTGTCTCTGTTAGCCATAAGTAGCATATTGTTTTATTACCGTTGGTGTTTCACTTGTTCATCAAAGTTATTCAAGTATTTAAAATCAATTAATATAATCTACAGTTCCAAGGAACAGTTACGACCATAAATGGAGATACTATGGCATATCAAATTGACATTTAGTTGGATAACATTGAATTTTATGCCAAAACAGATCTACTGGATGTTGTAACCAATAAATTATTTTACAGTTAAAGAAGTCTGTGGTGCTTGTTGTAATTGTATTAGAAAGTTCATTGTAGAGAATCCAGTTCGTTATAACCTTGAAAGTTCATTGTAGAGAATCCAGTTCGTTATAACCTTGATTATCTTGGACTATGTAGTTATTAAATAGTTTCCATCTTTTTGGACTATGTACTATTCTTCTCTGTTCAAAACTCACATCCTGTTCTGCTGCAGGAAATTTTGTGTTAGAAAAGACATTCTGACAAGTCCGTCTTTATTGAAGAAACGGCTTGTATTTATGGGTATTGCCATGTTTCTTCTGTCACCTTGTCTTGTTATCTTCCCATTGGTATACCTATTTCTGAGATATGCAGAAGAATTCTACAATCACCCCAGTACGGCATCATCTCGAAAATGGTCGAATCTTTCAAAGTGGATTTTGAGGGAATACAATGAGGTGACTTCTCAAACTAGTTTCTCTGTTGTGAATAGCATTGATAATTCTGAAATCTGAATAATCACGTGGCAAACCTTTCTATTTTTCCTTTTTGGACGTCTTTCAAGTTCTATAGATCAATATGTAGTAAACTTCCCATTTTACTAATGTAACTGCTGAAAACAATTTTCAGGTTGACCATTTCTTCAAACATAGGTTGAACAACAGTAGTGTCAACTCACTAAATTATTTGAAGCAGTTTCCAACTCCACTAGTATCTATTATTGCAAAATTCATATCGTTTGTATCTGGTGGATTGGCTGGAATTCTTCTCATCCTTGGATTTCTAGGTGAATCCATCCTTGAGGGTCATGTAAGTTGTTAATTTTGCATTCACATGCTTTTAGTGGCACATGAATACCATTTACCTTTCGCAAACTCATATAATTCATTATTTGTGAAGGTATTTGGCCGAAATCTTCTCTGGTATACTATTGTTTTTGGAACAATAGCAACTGTTAGTCGGAATGTTGTGGTTGATGAACTCCAAGTGATTGATCCAGAAGGAGCTATGTCCTTTGTTCTGCAGCAGACACACTACATGCCTAAAAGGTGGCGCGGTAAAGAGGGCAGTGAACTTGTACGAAGGGACTTTGAATCTCTGTTTCAGGTAATTTAGCCGTCAATTCTGTATATGATTCAAATGTTGAAATGGGCGATTTGATTGTGTCTAAGTGTTTGCTGTTCACAACAGTAGACAGCAACCAGTAGTAAGCGCGTTGTTTTATTTTCTGATTGCGGCTGATAAGGTCCTTTCAAAGTCTGTAAATTTTGTTGATTTTTAATTTTTGGGAGCATAATCAGTAATTATATGGAAATGAAATTCTGCTCACTAATTCTAATTTCGATATATAAACTAAAACTATATTATATTGCACTTTTTTTTCTCAAAAAGCTGTCGCTTTCAAGTTTCTTGTTCTTTCAATCTTTGTCAACTCAAGACATGTGATAGATATGTATTTTCTGTATGCTGCTAAAGTACCTATTTAGATAGAAGCTATAACAGCCGGTTTATAGAAATCAGAATGTTGCCCAGCTATAATCTGCATTGGTGGTATTAAAAAGAAAATCTGCATTAGTGAATTTACATTCTATCTTATTTTGATTGTGTAGCTTTTCTATTCTTGTACAGTTTGTTTTTACAATTGATGCCCTGTAAATTGCAATTGCAGTATACCATAACGATGCTACTAGAAGAGATGGCCTCAATTTTCATCACTCCATATCTGCTAATATTTGTGGTTCCAAAGGTAATGTATTTTAAGTTTCTATACCAAAAAACACATGTTTCTAAATTATGTTCTAAAATGTTGAGTTTTTAACCATTTTGTAGCGTGTTGATGATATTCTACGCTTCATATCAGACTTCACAGTTTATGTTGATGGAGTGGGAGATGTGTGCAGGTTTGTTTGTTTCTTCTACAGTTGATTATAAATTATCAGTCTGTTACCTCAGCTACATCTAATGACATTGCTGTTTGACATCTCAACAGCTTAAGCATGTTCGACTTAAGAAGACATGGAAATAGAAACTACGGTTCACCACATAATGCAGTTAAAAGCATGAGAAGCTCCCAAGGAAAAATGGAGAAATCACTATTAAGGTACCCATATTTAATTTTAAACATGTCTCTTATCATTTATATTTATCTGAAGCATATTAGCATTATTACTATAGTCCTTGTACTGTTGTGTGCTTACATGCTATGCACATCCTATCATGGGCCACTTTTCTTGCTTGCCTTTTCATACCCTTTGGTGTTAGGCTATTCCTTGACTAGAGAACTTGTAGTTAGTCATCTGCCCTTCAGTCCTTTTGAGTGTACTGGGAGCTCGCCTATTGTGTCACAAAATCCATCTTTCAAATGCCATGTTGAAATCATAGGAAGATGAATCAGGTTTTAATAATCTCATTGATATGACAACACCACAAACCCATATCAAATTCAACAGAAAGGCTCAGGAAAAATAGTATGTTTGGATGAAGATTGCCTTGGCCTAACTACGCTGTTTCATTTCTTACAGTTTCCAAAGCACCTACACATCATGGGAGCCAAACGCAGATGGCAAGAAATTTATTTGCAACCTCCAGAAATTCAAGGAGAAACAAATCCGTCAACATACCTTTCAAACAACGGAATCATCACAGCTTGGGTTGAGTTGTAGAGGTCAAACTGCAGTTTTCCATCGACTGCTCCCTAGAAACATCTATCCTGGCAATGGGGTCATTTTTAACTTTGATCCATTAGGACTGCTCGACACAGATCAAAGAGCTTGTCCATATATCCTGGATTGGTATTACACACACCAACACACAAATAGAGAAGCGGGCTCATCTTCCCACCTTAATGAAGCATCACCTGAGCAACAGGAGGAGATATGGCCACCTCTGAGCAAACCATTAACAGAAATTGAAGATGAGCAAATCTGGGATTCTGATTTATATAGAAGAGCTCGAAGCTACCTGGAGGCATCAACATCAAGTGCATTCTTTCGACAGGCCACCACCTTCAAGCGCCATGGCAGGGAACAAAATTCTACCAGCCATCAATGGTGGGCTCAGGCCTCGAGGCAGCAGGCTGATCCACGAAACAGTTTTCAAGGGCCTCCTCAAGACAGTTTTCTTGAGCCTCCGGACTTCCGAAATCATTTGGAAGCTAGCCATGATTCCAGCCATCAAAGTGATTGTAGGCTGACCTCCAGAAGGTCAACTGATCCACAAGACAGCTTCGTTGAGCCTCCTGATTTTGGTGATTACATGTCCTGTCATAGCTCTAGCTATCATGGCGATGAAACGTCGGATGGAAACTCAGAACTAGATCAAAGCAACAATAGTTGGCGAAGCCCCCATGCCCTGTCAAAGACAAGGTACATGGGTGATGATGATCTTGACCTAGAACAAGGCCCGAGTTTCCATTTTACTGATGCCCCTCAGAAGGACAGTGGAAGTGAAGGAGATGGACATGGTGTAGCCAATATTTACAGCTCTACGCCAGCCAGCCTTCCTGTACGGATAATACCTAGAAGCAGTGACCCAGTTTAGGTTGGTAGACACACGAAAAAGTACTAGTTGGAACACTTGTGAACGCGCATTTTCCGTGTTCTGATAGATATATACTACCTCCTTCCCTAAATATTTGACGCCGTTGATATTTTTAAACATGTTTGACCGTTCGTCTTATTCAAAAATTTTTGTGAAATATATAAAACTATATGTATATATAAAAGTATATTTAACAATAAATCAAATGATAGGAAAGGAATTATTAATTACTTAAATTTTTTTGAATAAGACGAACGGTCAAATATATTTAAAAAAGTCAACGGCGTCAAATATTTTGGGATGGAGGGAGTATATATTATAGTAGAAAAGAAATATGCATAAATTACTTTATTGTGTTTGGCAAAGGCCGACCAATTCTTTTTGTAAAAGAGAATTACATATACCTAATAGGCCCGTCATTGCCTATTTAGAGGAAAGGGAACCATTCTTTAGTTTATACTAGCATAGTTGAGTTTGTTGCTGCATTATTTGTTGCCATCCGATGCAATCAAAGATATATTAATTAATATAAGGAGCAGTGGAAAAATGCACATAGATGGTAACTTCCCATCTGCGATTATAATTTGAAAGAACTGTGTCAATAAATAATGCAACTGTAGTACAACAAAATTAATCATTGCTAAAAGGGTAAATTTTCAAAACTGCAAGTATCATGTAAACTACTCCCTCTATCCCATAATATAAGGGATTTTGACTTTTTGCTTGTACTATTTGATCATTCGTCTTATTTAAAAAATTTGTGCAAATATAAAAAACAAAAAGTTGTGCTTAAAGTACTTTGGATAATAAAGTAAGTCACAAATAAAATAAATAAGAATTTCAAAATTTTTTGAATAAGACGAATGGTCAAACAGTGCAAGTAAAAAGTCAAAATTCCTTATTTTATAGGACAGAGGGAGTATCAGCTTATTGCAACTTTAATCACGCGTTACCTACTGTAGCTAATAAACCTATTTTATTTGAGAACTCCCTCCGTTTCACAATGTAAGTCATTCTAACATTTTCCACATTCATATTGATGTTAATGAATCTAGATATATATATATCAATATGAATGTGAGAAATGTTAGAATGACTTAAATTGTGAAACGGAGGAAGTACATACTTTTTTCTTTGCTTTTAAGGTCCGACGGGCTGGTTCAGGGAATAAATACCGTTTGCAACTAAAGAAGGTCCTGATTGAATTCGCTGGATATAACGTTCCCCTCGTATTTAAAAAACTTGTAAATCAACTCCTTTATTGGTTTTAGAAAGCGATTTTGCTGACGTGGCAGGTGGGACCAACACAGCAGTGACTCTCCTCTTCCCCTCTTGATGGTAGTATGGCACCGAGACCAGATGAGCGCCGGAGCTCAGAGGGAGCGATTCGCGGTCGGGTCAAGTTCGGGTTCGCGAGGAGATGAGTTCGGCATTTAACTCATTTGACGATGTATGCATGTGTTGTGCACAACAACTCAGGCCGCCGCGAGCGCATGAACACAACAGCACACAAACGAATAGACATGATCGAATTTCCTCGCGGCGACAGATCGATACAATGGACAACGCGGGACACGGCGAGCTAGTCTTGGCTCATAAGGGCAAGGCCAATGCTTATGGTTCCATCAGTCATATATGTAGGATCCGCTATAAGTAAGCATTAGCTATGTTCATATCTATAATGGCTGTGCCTATGGGAGAAAATAAGCTAGGTCCCAATGGGTCCCACCGAAGGATAAAAAAATCACATCTTATCCTCCTGTGAAACTCTTTGCACAATAAAAATTCCCCAAAAGTACTGGCGTGAACAGCACATCACAAAAGTATTGTATTCTAAAGTCTTGTTGCCACACCATAAGGCTAATGCTCATTTTTGATGTCAGATTCTTATGGTCCACTTTCACAATGCTTAAGGTGATATACTGTAGAGTTATTTATTACTTAAGGTCACTTTTAGCACACATTGTGGTTGCCCTAATGCGGTGGAAGATCTCACGGAGCTCCGCGCGCCAGGCGGTCATGGGAGATTCCGGCGGCGAGACGGCCGTGGCCTTGCACTGCCCGCAGGCCAGCAGGCTAGCTGGGCAGGCTCAGCTTGAAGCTTCCCTTCAGCGACTGGCGACTCGATGCCGGCTTGGAGACCTCGACGCCCGCCATTAGCTCGTGGAATTTCTTATTCTTGAGCAGGAAGAAGCACTCCTAGACCTAGCTACCAAACATATGCATGGTCGCCGTTTCTGATGAGCTCCCTCCGCTACATACCTTCGATCTCGTTCTCGGCCGTGCGGCGGCGACGGCGGCGTTGGTCGTTCCGGTTCAACAAGCGCGAACATGAATCTGCCTTCCGCCACCGTCGTCTTCTTCAACGCCCATCTTTTCTCGGTGCCATCGAGATGGAAAAGAGAAGAGACACAGAGGGGAGGGAAGAAGAGAGTCCCTGACCAAGTGGGTCCCACATGCTACGTAAGAAAAAAAAGGCTTCCTGAACCACCGAATGAGTCGATTTACAACGGTTTTTAAAGATAGGAGAGACGATATATTCAGTTTTGTATTTGAGGGAGACGATTCAATCAGAAGTAAGAGATGAGGGAGGCATAATAGACGTATTTCCAAAAGTTCACTGCTCAGGCCCACCGAGCAGACATATGCAACAGTTACTCGGTTGCAATTTGGCCTATATGTCAAGCACATGTAGGAAAATACTAGATGGTTAGGTGTCATTTTTAAGCTACCGATCTTCTTGTGGTTGACCGGAAGTAATTTGTGAATGTCATATCTTATCTCCGAAAAGGAAGAGGTACCACTAGTGAAAAGAGGAGTGCTTTGTGCAACCTCTTGAAGTAAGAGTTAGGGAAGACCCAACTCTTTGTGAGCTCCTCAACGGAGAGTAGAATCCTCCCGAGGATTCAAACTTCAGGAATACCTCATCTTACAAGAACATCGGTGATATCTCTCTTTCCTTCCTATAGTTTTGCTTGCTTGTGCCACTTTTAGTTTAGTTGTTTGTGCTTGCTCATCATTCTTGTGACTAGATAGGTCTATTTTTATTTTGTGCATTTCACTTGCTTTGTGATTTTCAGAAATATCTGAAATTTTCGGATATATCTGAAAAGTGTTGCTTCCGCATTTACTTATATTTTAAATTAGCCTATATATTCACCCTCCTCTAGCCCTAAGTGTCCCTTTTAGATTACAAGAGGAACCAAAAACAAACTATAAAAACTACAAGGAAACTCGTTAAGTGCAAACTTTAACCGTCAACTCCTACATAAAAGAACACATAATATAATACCAAACTTAGTGATAGGGGTTTATTACTAACCATTTTCATTAGTATCAGCAAATATTGGTATGAAGGTGATTTCTAGATGAACACACACCCATCATGCGATAAAATATACCTCCGACCAATCATATGCAAGTATAAGGATTTGAGAGCCCACACAATAGTCAAAACCGACTTAAAATGGGCCTAACCATGGTGCATCCTCATAGGGACCCCCCGTCAGCCTCCCAACTATAAGTTAATCATGTGACTTGTGACTTTGGCTATATTTTGTGTTTTTTCTGCTACAAGCATAAAAACTGGTAATTCGTTTTCATTGGTGGCTCTGTTTGGATCTAGGACTAAACTTTTGTTCCTGTCACATCGAATGTTTGACACTAATTTGGATTATTAAACATATACTACTTACAAAACTAATTGCATAAATGAGAGCTAATCTGCGAGACAAATTTTTTAAGCCTAATTAATCCATAATTAGCACATGTTTACTGTAACATCACAACGGCTAATTAATCATGGATTAGTTAGGCTCAATAGTTTCGTCTCGCGAATTAGTCCAGGGTTATGGAATGAGTTTTGTCATTAGTATATGTTTAATACTTCTAATTAGTATCCAAACATCCGATCTGACAGGGACTAAAACTTTTTAAGCTCCATCCAAACCCACCTTAAGGAACTACATGTGAAAATGTTTCTTCACGGGCAGCTGACTTTACGTCCATGTAAATAGCTGATTTTCACAGGTCCTTGATTGCAAGCGGCTTGAAAAACGCCCATGCAAAGCACTTAAATTATGTCAAGACAAACATTTTTGGTCAGTGGGATAACACCGCGATAGCCGGAAATCAGTTGTGGGAATGCTGACTGGCTGGGAAGGAGGGGTTTCAATTTTCAAGAGAGAGAAAAAAGAAGATGTTATAAAACGCATCGGAAACCAAACGCGAAAGAAAACGCCATAGAAAATCCAAACACGATGATGACACCGAGGCACGATATTTGGTAACGGAGTCCAGCCGTAGCGTACATCTCCGGAGCACTGATTACAGGCGCTCCTCCCCGATTCAGCATATACAGCGTATTAGAGTTACAACGACTCACGGCCGGTCGCCGCTCCCTCTCGTTATGCTAAGTCGCTATGCGATTACGACAGACACGCCCCTTTATTTATGAGAGATCCTTGGATAGAGTCCGACTCATACTCCAGTCCTATCACCTATTACAACTCTAAGTCCTAAACTGTAACCGACTTTATATAAACATATTCGACACAAACTCTAACAAACTCCACCTTGGCGAATATGCCATGCCAACATGAATTCGTTACTTGCTCGAACCTCCGTGTACCATGACTTGAGTTGGTTCCTTTTCGCCGCTCACACCGAGCTGCCCCAACAAGCCTCCACCAGGCTCACCATAACAAGAGACTCTGCTATCCCTGTAATTTCTTCATCTTGACTCCACCTGCAACAGTGCTCCACCTTCTCTCATATCACCACGATCGTCTTACCAAACGAAATTGGATTCCTTCCTAGCTATCATGTCATAGACTTTCTGAAGATCATGTTCAACTCTATCTACCATCTTAAATTTGACTTAATCTAATCCATGGCCGCGTCATCACCAAATAGATAAACCAAACTCACCAGACTTGAAGAGAACCCTTTCTTCCTTGTCGTCCTATGAACTAAGCTAATAAATCCAATATCCACGCTTTCCTGCATCTGTAGACTGAATTCCTGATAATTTAAAAAAACCATCATTGCTTTGAATCATCTGAAGAAATTACCACCATAGTGCTTGCTCTT